TATAGACATATATAAGTATATATAGGTAAATTTCCCTTAGAAAATTCATCAAGAATAAAATAAAGACATAATTATTGAGTATACATTATTATTGATCATGAGTTATTATTTGCATTACTTTTCTCAATCTCTCATAAGAAATAAGAATAAGAAGAAGAAGTACTGTGGCATAATAAGAAATATATATGGGTTTTGTTCTGGGTTCCTGGAAAGCTCCTAAAACCTTTAGGACATTCTGAGATATAGGAGAATCTTTTGTAATTCATAGGGAGCCCCTTTAAGAATTCCTGAGTTTATGCAAATGAGTTGACTTAGGAAAGGACTCCTAAATAGCTTAGTGGTAGGGCTGGTTACCAGAAAGACCAATGCTTACAGGGTTGAAATTTTTAGGCACGCCTATGAGAAGGGAAAGAGGGGACTACAAATTAAGCTCTATAAAAACTCCTGAACAAGATTTCTTAAATACATTTTATTGATTATGCCATTACAGTTTTCCCATTTCCCCCATTCATTCCCCTCTACCCTGCACAACCCCTCCCCCTTTAGTTCATGTCCATGTGTCACAAGTTCTTTAGCTTCTACATTTCCCCTACTATTCTTGCCCCCCCCATCTATTTTCTATCTACTGTCTATGCTACTTATTTTCTGTACCTTCTCCCCCCTTCTCCTCCTCCCACTCCCCTGTTGCTAATCCTCCATGTGATCTTCATTTCTATGGTTCTGCTCCTGATCTAGCTGTCCTCTTAGTTTGCTTTTGTTTTAGGTGTGGTTGTTAATAACTGTGAGTTTGCTGTCCTTTCACTGTTCATATTTTTTTCTTCTTTTTCTTAGATAAGTCCCTTTAACATTTTATACAATAAGGGCTTGCTGACGTTGAACTCCTTTAACTTGACCTTATCTGAGAAGCACTTTATCTGCCCTTGCATTCTAAATGAAAGCTTTGCTGGATAGATCAATCTTGGATGTAGGTCTTTGGATTTCATGACTGGGAATACTTCTTTCCAGCCCCTTCTTGCCTGTAAGGTCTCTTTTGAGAAATCCACTGACAGTTTGATGGGAACTCCTTTGTAGGTGGCTGTCCCCTTATCTCTTGCTGCTTCTAGGATTCTCTCCTTCATTTTAATCTTGGCTAATGTAATGATGATGTGCCTTGGTGTGTTCCTTCTTGGGTCCAGCTTCTTTGGGACTCTCTGAGCTTCCTGGACTTCCCGGAAGTCTATTTCTGTTGCCAGATTGGGGAAGTTCTCTTTTATTATTTGTTCAAATAACTTTTCCATTTGTTGCTGTTCCTCTTCCCCTTCTGGTACCCCTATAATTCGGATGTTGGAACATTTAAAGATGTCCTAGAGGTTCCTAAGCCTCTCATTTTTTTTGAATTCTTGTTTCTTCATTCTTTTCTATTTGGTCATTTCTTCCTTCTGTTCCACTTGATTGATTTTAGTCCCAGTTTTGTTTCCATCACTATTGGTTCCCTGTGCATTTTGCTTCATTTCACTTAGTGTAGCCTTCATTTTTTCATCTAATTTGTGACTAAAATCAATCAGTTCTGTGAGTATCCTGATCACAAGTGTTTTAAACTGTGCATCTGATAGGTTGCCTACCTCTTTGTTGCTTAGAAGTATTGGCTCTGGGGCTTTGAGCTGTTCTTCTGCTTGAGCTATAATGTTTTGGTCTGTTTGCGCCTGTTATGAGGGACGGACGGAGCCATAAGTGTTGGCCAGGGCAGGGCAACCCAGTGGCTGGATTGTGATGATGGGAGTGGGGTCAGAGAGGGAACAATGATGATTGTTCAGCTCTCTCTCAGACTTTGGTCACCTCTGCTGCTTCCTACAAGTAAGTTGGACCCTTCTGGTGCTGGTTCCTGGGTGGGTGGGCTTGTGTACATTCTAGGACCCTGTGGGTCTCTCCAACAAATTCTCCTGTGAGGCTGGGAGCCTCTTCTGGCACCTCAACTCCCGAAAGTTTCTCCAGTTGGTGTTTTTAGCCTTTAATTCCCATTGCTGGGGCCCTAGCCTGTGTAGTCTGTCTCACTGCTTTCTCCTTCGCCTGGTTTATCTGAGTGTGAATGTGTGACCCCAGTCAGCTAGCCACCTTGAGCCCTCACTGGGTCCACCTGATGCCACCCCACACCTGGGACCTGCCAACCGCCACCTACGCTCCTGGGTCCATTGGGCTGCTTTTTCCTGCTGCAACCCCTCTCTGCCAGCCGCTGACTCTGCCCCTCTTACCAGTATGGATGAATGGTTCATTGTTGTTAGACTTCGGTACAGTTTAATTTTCTGTCTGTTTTAGTTGTGTTTTTGTTTCTCAATCTTGTTGTCCTTAAACTTGGTTGTGTGAGGAGGTACAATGTTTCCACCTACGCCTCCATCTTGGCCAGAAGTCTTTTTTTTTAAATATTTTATTTATTTATTTTTAGAGAGAGAGGACAGGAAGAAGAAAGAGTGGGAGAGAAACATCAATGTGTGGTTGCCTCTCACGTGTCCCCTACTGAGGACCTGGCCTGCAACCCAGGCATGTGCCCTGACTGAGAATCAAACTGATGACCCTTTGCTTCACAGGCCCATGCTCAATCCACTGAGCTACACCAATCCACAGGGCCTCTTGAACAAGATTTGATGAGCTTCAGGTTAGCGAATAGAGCCCCCTGTAAACACTGTGGTGCACCCCAATTCCACGGGACAGAAGCTCCTGGGCTAAGAGCCCTCCTAGACCTCCCTCTATGAATCTCTTCATCTAGCTGTTCATCCATATCTTCTCTAAAATCCCTTATAATGAACACAAGTACAGCAGGTCCTTAGATAACATAATTTCATTCAATGTCATTTCATTATAACCTTAATGAGGAAAAAAACCCCTGATCCCTTGCTGGTTCATCCATATCTTCTCTAAAATCCCTTATAATGAACACAAGTACAGCAGGTCCTTAGATAACATAATTTCATTCAATGTCATTTCATTATAACCTTAATGAGGAAAAAAACCCCTGATCCCTTGCTGGGACTACTGTGTGTGTGAAGTTCGCATCTGTTTCCTCCCGGGACTCCAGTTTCCTTCCACAGCCTAGAGGTGTGCACGCGGGCAAACTGGCAGGTCTACTCCAGCTCAGCCGGGGTGGGTGTGGGTGGGAGGGAGGGGAAAGGCGGCCTGTCCAGGCTGAGTTCCCACCTTGTGCCCTGAGCTGCTAGGAAAGGCTACAGCCACTTGTGACTCTGAATTAGAATAAGCAGGTTGGGAAATACTTATCTTGCTTGTTTTAATTAATCTTTTCTAAAGGTAGGTATAGCTCACATTTATTTCAATGTTTAATAATAGAAGTGTTCTGCATTTTTATTTAGAAGTTTGGTGATGTTTTTGTGACCAGGAACTTAACTCTTCTTTACCTCAATGTCTATGATAAAATTGGTTTCGTTATACATTGCTTCACATTAAGTAACACTTTCCAAGAACCTATCAACTACATTAAATGAGGACTTACCGTAAATGTTCTATGAGCCTAACGAATTAATCAAATCTAAGAAGGAGGTTGTAGAAACCTCGCATTTATAGCCAGTCACACAGAAGCACAAGTTAACAGCCTGGACTTGCAACTACTTTCTAAAGGTAGGGGCAGTTTTGTAGGACTACACCCTCACCCTGTGGGGTGGGGTGCTATTTCCAGAGAGTGTCAGAACTGAGTTAAATTTGTAGGGCACCCAGTCAGTGTCTGCTGAGACTGGAGTAACTGCTTAGTGGCACCAGAAAAAACACACATCAGAAACACTAACATCTCAAGAAGCAGTGACCTGACAGAACAAATTTCTTTGCATAAAAGAATCCCTGACCCTCAAAAGACTAATTACTGGGGTGTATAAATGTGATGTTAGCACCACAAGAGTGCCTGTATCAAAACAACTTTGGTTGGAATTCATTTTTTATTGTTGCCTACAAAAAGGAGAATATGAGAGACAAGGACTTGAAGTGGTTAAGTGGAAACAGAAGCACGGAGACCTACCCGAGCCTGACAAATTCCAGGTGATCGTCTATAGCTGTGTTTATAAAGCCACCACTTTATAGGTCCCCCATATCTATGTATAGTAGAGGGTCTCAAAGTGTGTCCCCGGTTGAACCACATCAACATCACCTGGAAATCTGTTAGACATGCACATTCTTGGTCCCCACCTCATACTTATAGCATCTTTCTCTGGGGAAGGAGAACAGGAGTCTGTGCTTGACAAGCCCTCCCAATGATTCTGATACACACTAAAACCTGAGAACCAGTCATCTCTGGTTACATCAAATACCTGTCAGAATGAGGCACAGCTAATTCAGGAAATTCTGCATACTGAGTGGCAGAATTTTACTACATCCTACATATCATGTGTAGAAAACTTTTATTATATTAGCCCTCCTTTTTTAAGGCATTTATTTTAAAATGCTTTCCCAATATTATCTGACATTACTTAAGAGTCTTCCCATGATCTAAAATTTTCAGTCCATTCATAGGCTGCTCTGTGCTCAATAAAACAGAGCAAAGCGAAAGTTTTTAGGGAGGATGATAACACATTCCCAGGCAAAATTGAGAGGTTGAAGCACTGTACTATAAATTGCTAAGCTTTAAGTTAAGTTTTTTAGTTCTTCCATCATATGGGACATAAAACTTATAAGTAAAACACAAAATAGCCAGGCCCTGGCTGGGTAGGTCAGGTGGCTGGCGCATCATCCCAGTGTACCAAGGTTGTAGGTTTGATCCCAGTCAGGGCACATGTAAGAATCAACCAATGAATGCATGAGAAAGTGGAACAAATCAATGTTTCTCTCTCCCCCTACCCTCATCCTCTCTTTTTAAAAATCAATTTTAAAAAACCTAAAAAGGTCAAATATATGTACTATGTCTACAAAGTTTATACATATCTATAGAAAAATTTGCCAAAGGGGACAAAATCCTGCTAAACAGGTAATTTCTCTGCCAATTTAATTCAGGTTATCAGTGTTTCTGTGTATACAAAAAAGGTAAATACCTTTAAACTGCTTGATCATGTTCTGATGGTTTTCAATGGCTTCCTGTAAGATCACTTCAGGCTGGTCCATCTTCCACCGCCACTCAGTGCCCACTGGATTGGTGTGGTGCCTAGGAAAAAGGCAAATGTGCTAAAGTACTTTCTGTAACAAGATCACAGCTAGTCATCTACTATGAAACACTTAATAAAATCAGAGTTGATTTTCCCCTGAAATCTTAGCTGTCTATAGCTGTATTTTACTATTTAATCAGAAATAAACTTAAGTGAGACAGCTCACACAGAGGAGTGAACAGAGAAGCGCTTGGCTGAGACTGAGGTTTCCTCTTAATGATACAAACTGTGCGCCCCTCTCCCCCAGCCACCCACTACCAGCCTAACAAGCATGCATCTAATAACAACTAACAGCAAAGCTCTGCCAGAATAGGTGCAAGATCGTAGTCACAGAACCTCCCTGAGAGGCAGTGCAGTGGGAAGACCTAAAGCTCAGAATGTACCAGATATTAAGAAGAGAAAAAAAAAAACCCTCTAGCACACCTGCCTCCATGCTATACAAAGTAAGCCTAAAGGAATTTTAAACAGAAACAACAAACTTAATTCAAGCCCAGTTCTTAAGTAGATTAACTCCAACAAGAAAGGCCTAGCAGAAAGAAAAGGTGTGCCAGTTTCAAACTGCAGAAAACTTACCTTAGTCTTTAATGTACTAAATAAATGTCCCACTTCAAACAAAAACTTATAAAGTATACCAAAAAGCAAGAAAAACAACAGATTTCCAATAGAAAGCAATCAACAAAACCACACTCTTTTGACATGTGCTGGAACTATCTGACAGGAATTTTTTTAAAACTATGATTGATATGTTACAAGCCCTAAGAGAAAAGGTCAGGCTTCCAATCAAGATGGAGGCGTAGGTAGACACACTTTGCCTCATTGCACAACCATTAGAAGGAACATTACTAACGTAAAAAAATAAAACACCCAGAACTGCCAAAAGTCACCCAGAACTGTACGGAAGTTCAACAACCAAGGATTTAAAGAAGCTATACTCATCCAGACGGGTAGAAAGGGTGGAAATGAGGACAGAGGTGGAGAGCATGCAGTGTGGCGGTGGTGAGTTGGGGCAGCAGAATCCACCACATTCATGTGTGGTGGATAAAAATCAGGGGGACACCTTGTAAGCCAGCGATCCCAGACTCAGGCCTGACCGCAGCCCACAGTTCCACCAGGAAAAATAAAGCCTCATAATATCTAGCTGTAAGCCCAGTGGGGCTTGGGGTGGCAATAGAAATAGCTGGTTTCTCAGGAGAGCCCAAAATGTGCACAAATCCACCCACTCTGGGAACTACAACCAGGACAGCAGCTGGAGGGGCATCAGTCACATATGGGAAGTGGGTGAAGTGACTGGAAAGGGGGCAAATGCCAGGCAAGCCCCCAAAAGTCATTCAGCAGCAGCAATGTCCCCTCATCGACCCCTCCCTGACAGATGGAGCCACAAAGCAGTGAAGCAGGTAGCCTGCCCTGGTGAATACCCAAGGCTCTGCCCGTACAACTTAATAGGTGTCCTGAGACAGGAAATCAAAGCAGCTCTACCTAGTACACAGACACAGGGAGGCTGCAAAATAAGCAAACAAAGAAATATGGTCTAAACGAAGGAACAAATAGAACCCCAGAGAAACAATTAACTAATGCAGAGATAGCCAAACTATCAGACTCACAGTTCAAAAACACTGGTGGTCAGGATGCTTGCAAATCTCACTGAATATGGCAAAAGCATAAGGAAAGAAATGAGATTATACTCAAGGAAATAAAGAAAAATCCACAGGAAACCAACAGTGAGGGGAAGGAAGCTGGGATTCAAATCAACAATTTGGAACATAACAATAAAATAAACAGTCAGCCAGAACAAAATGAAGGAACAAGAATTCAAAAAAATGATGAGAAATAAGAAGACTCTGGGACATCTCCAAAAGGGCCAACATCCAAATCATAGGGATGCCAGAAGACAAAAGAATAGCAAGAAACCAAAAACTTATTTGAAAAAATTATGAAAGATAAAGATAACTTCCCTAATTTGGTGAAGGAAATAGACATACAAATCCAGGAAGCACAGAGAGTCCCAAACAAGATGAACCCAAAGAGATCTACACCAAGACACATCATAATTAAACTGCCAAAGGTTAAAGATAAAGAGTGAATCTTAAAAGCAGCAAAAGTAGAGAAATACCTGCAAAGGTGTTCCCATAAGACTGTCAGCTGATTTCTCAAAAGAAACTTTGCAGGCAAGAAGGGACTGGCAAGTAGTATATAAAATGATGAAAAGCAAAGACCTATAACTTAGATTACTATGCGCAGCAAAGCTATAATTTAAAATGGAAGGACAGGGGACTTCCACCAAGATGGAGGCATAGGTGGAAACACTGTGCCTTCTCACACAACCAAGTTTTAAAAACAACAAAGTTTTAGCAACAAAAACGCAGCCAAACCACAGAAAATTGAACTATACGAAAGTCTGACAACAATGAACCCTTCAGCCAAACTGGTAAGAGGGGCAGAGCCAGCAGCAGAGCCTGGTCGGGCAGGAAAGATCCACCAGACCAACCCCGACACGTGACCCAGGTGCACCAGCAGCCATGGGTGGATCCCAGGTGTGGAGTAGCGGGCAGACCCACTGAGGGAGCAAGGCAGTGGACTCACTGAGGGCTGACTGTGGTCACACATTCGCGCGCAGATAAATCAGTGAAGGAGCGAGCAGTGAGACGGACCATGCAGGCCCCAGCGGCAGGAAGTGGCAGAGGGAACTGCCATTGTCCCTCTTTGACCCCGCCCCCACATACAGCATCACAAACCAGCGACCTGGGTGGCCCCGCCCTGGTGAATACCTAGGGCTCCGCTCCTCATACATAACAGGCACAAACAGATCAGAAAGAACTCAGAGCCCCAGAGCCCATAAATCTAAGTGAACAAGAAATTGCCAACCTATCAGATGCACAGTTCAAAACACTGGTGATCAGGATGCTCACAGAACTGGTTGATTTTAGTCACAAATTAGAGGACCATATGAAAGTTAAACTAATTGAAATGAAGGGAAATGCACAGGAAACCAATAGTAATGGAAAGGAAACAAACTCAAATCAAAAGAGTGGACCAGAAGGAAGAAAAAAAATGACCAAACTGAAAAGGATGAAGAAACAAGAATTCAAAAAAATGAGGAGAGGCTTAGGAACCTTCAGGACATCTTTAAATGCTCCAACATCCAAATTATAGGGGTACCAGAAGGGGAAGAGGGACAGTCACGAGTGGAAACCTTATTTGAACAAATAATAAAAGAGAACTTCCCCAATCTGGCAAAGAAAATAGACTTCCAGGAAATCCAGGAAGCTCAGAGAGTCCCAAAGAAGTTGGACTCAAGAAGGAATACACCAAGGCACATCATAATTACGGAAAGACTTTCCATAATTAGGGAAAGGCAAAAAGCTAGACTGCTTAAAACAACTTGAAAGAAGAAAAAGTAATATGGAAGATTCATAATACACAACTTCAAAATACTATAAAACTACTCTAATCAAAACGGTGTAATACTGGACTTCTAATCAAGATGGAGGTATAGGTAGAAACACTTTGTCAAGGTTCACCCATGTTGTAGCATATATTGGTAGTTCATTCTTTTTTATTGTCAAATATTATTCCATTGGTTATATATACACACACACTTTGCTCATTCATCAGTTGATGGGTAATTATTTCCTGTTTTTAGACATTATTAATAATATCTTATTGGGCACTTTTATATCATCTCTGGAGAATTGTCTAGTCAGATCCTTTGTGAAGGAGGCTTATTCCCCAACCCACCAGACTGCTAATGACCCAGTCAGGCCAGTTTCCCACCCTCTGGACTTCCTATGACTCAGTTTTTCTGACTTACTTGGTGGTCGGCAGCTTAATCGAAACTCCCCTGCCGTGCACAAAATAGACACCTGGCAAACCACAACAGCGGGTATTCAGACTAACCGTCCTGTACCTGGGAACAGCCCGCTCTTTACCCAATCCATCATCCTGGCTCACATCCTGAAATCCCCAGGCACCGCCCAGAACAACTACTCCCCCATCCTCGTACCAGACCCTGCACTTTTTCTTTTAAAAACCCCACTCCTGCCTTCCCCCAGCGCTGAAGTCACGCAACTCAGCCTGTACCTCTCAGCGCAGCATCAAACAAAGGCCCTTGGATCAGATCACCCGGTTCCTCCCACTTCTATTTCTCAAGCATTTCTAATACTTTGCCTACTCTTGTAATCAGGCCATTTATTGAAGACAAATAAAACTCTTAATGTGAAACGTCAAAGCACAAAGTTTTCACTTAAACAGAACTAGGAGACATACAATAGTAAACTTGGAATATCTATGCACAAAACACTCACCTCTTTCTGAGGATTAGTATGAAATATTTTATCTGTCTATAACAGTCTGCTACCCATATTATCAAAGTGAAGTAAGAAATTCATTTTGGGAAACTCCCATTTGTACAACATATTATAGTTTAAAAACATTTTCACATGCACGAACTCACTCAGTAATTAAGCCCCACAGCAGCCCTGTATTGAAGGTGTTACTGTTTTAGAGCTAGGAAACTGAGGCTCAGGAGCTATTTTAAGAGCCTGCTAAAATAAAGAAAAAATATTTATATAAGCATTTATTTTACACCAATTTTTATTAGGCCTTTTCTGATGTTCTTAGTACACTATTCATTTTTGAAAGAGATGATGAATTCTAATTTTAAAAGTTATTGGATTAGTACTTCTTTACCAGAAGTCATAGTAAATTAAAAAACCCATTTACTTTTCTCTTTCTAAAATCCCATTAACAAATTTGTTAAGCATATTGCTTGTATTTTATTAAAACTGCATGAATTTGTTGCTTGAGAAACTGAAGGACTGCATTATTGGCTATAAACACTTAATATAGGGTAAGGGGTAATACCTACTAACTCCTGATATTTTCTTGGAATCTTTTAAAAAAATTTTATTTATTTATTTTTAGAGGCAGGGAGGGAGGGAGAAACAGAGGGACAGAAACATCAGTGTGTGGTTGCTTCTCTAGCACTCCCTACTGAGGACCT